AGGAGGGACTCTAGCAGGAGCTTCTGAGCTGGACTGAAACCAGGCTACAGTGCTGTTGCCCCTAGCCTGGGACTCCTTATATACCCTTGAGAGGGGGTGGGGGCCTCGCCTCCTCCCCCTGAGTGGAGCCAACTCCTCTGCCTTCCAGACAAACACAGCTGCCTGCACACCTCCACAGGGCTCACTTGTGGGGAGTTTTTCTTTTCTTTTTTTTTTTTCTTAATGCAACAAGAGAGATGATTCAGAATTAATGGGGTTTTGCTCTAGGCCATAGTTTTAACACTTGGATTACAGGTTCTTTTCTCACTCCAGGAAGAAGAGAGCCACAAGAGCAAACCCTCAGCATAGCACAGCTCCCAAGTTCCCTCATGTCCCATCCCGTTAGAGCAGCCAGGCCAGCTCTGCCCCCACCCCAGCCCGCTGCTAGCATGCCAGCCTCACCCCAGGTGCCCCAGGTAGATAGCTCCCTGCTCTCAGTTTCTCCCATCACTGTTCTGTACTCACTAATCAAACGCCCTATGCATGAGCCTTCGGGCCATGAAGTCCCTAGGAATGAGAACACAGGTGACTACAGTGCAAGCTAAGGATAGGGTCTCAAGTCAAGTTCCAAACGAGTTGACCAGAAAACCAATACCTGTCCCTCTTTCCCATCCCTGATACCTGGGCATGCTCTCTCCTCTCACCATCCTTCCCACCACCCCAATTCCAGAAGTCCCTCCTACCTCTTCAGTCTACCTCTTCAGTTCCCCCCAGCCCAGGGTCCTGGCTAGTTCACAAAAGCCCAGAAGGCTCAGGGTGACAGGAGTCTGATTGATGGTCCTGTCACCTGCCAACTGCACATGCCACTGAACCTCTGCTTGCTCCCAAGACGCGTTGGGGCAAACCCCTGCAGATAAGACCGGGGTAAGTTCCAGAAAGTCCCCCGCCTTCTTCAGCAAGAGACAAGTCCCTGCTTAGTGGGCCAGATTAACCCCCATTTGCCTTGTCAACTGCTGCCAGCTGGGGAGGAGCTGAGCTAGAGGCTCTGCTCTACGTGCCTAAGCACTGGGAGGAGGGCGGAGGCAGGAATGGGGGGGCTGGTAAGCAGGTGGAATGCATCAGAGCTCAGAGGCCAAGGAATCAGTCACTGCAATACTGAGGCCAAGGAGGACAGGCACACGTTCAGGAGGGTCCTCTGCCACCAGCTCACATAGCCCTATTTCTCTAAAACAATGGCTCTGTGAGCAGTGCCACCCAGACTGGAGGGAGCCCACAGCAGGGCTCCTAATGGAGAGCTACAATACAGGAAAGTGAATAGGGCTCCTGCAGGCCTTGGACCTGGGTTTAAAAAACAATTCCTATCAGTGATTCCTGTGAAAGTCTGCACACATCGCTTTTTAAGGCTCAGCCTCTTTGTGGTATAGGACACTAGCTTTATGGGTCACGCTGAGACTCAAGTTGCCCATCCTGACGCCCCCTGACTCCCCATCATCCATCTGAGGGGAGTGATAGCTGCAGACCTGGCACCTGCGCTTCCTGAGACCCCTCCTGCCCTCGGACTTGGGAACATTCTCAGGCTCGTCGGTGCCAGCGAGCCGTCGGATGACCCTTCTTTTTGCTGTAACAGGATAGTCCTCTGCTTCTGCCCCATGTGTTCATGACTGAGAAAGTACTTCTGAATCCACAATCCTCTCTAACCCCAGGCACAGAGCACAACTGGGGCCCAAGTTTCAGAATGAAGACTCAAAGGGTGACGCCATGAACGCAGGACGGCCCACCTGGAACGGGAATTACCAAGGCTGTGTCAGTCCTTTGATGCCCCCACCACCCACCCAAGCAAGATACAGACAACTTTCCTGTTACCTGAACTGGGTTAAAAGAGAACTACAGGCCTCAGGGAGAGGCCGCCTCACCAACTTCGCAGCGGGCCAGGCATTCTGGTGCTGGCTCCAGACAGTATAGTATTGTCTTATGGGTGGGAGGGTATTGTCTTTTCCTTCCAAAGAAAAATAATCAAACCCAGATCAGTCAGAGCTCATTAAAACCTCTGCAGACATGGCGGCCCCAGCAATTAACACAGAGAACAATTAATCCTCCATCACCCCAGGGTGAGGGAGAACCGGATTCCAGCCAGCTCCTTTCTACACCCTAACTCCCCACTAGCAGCTCTTGGGGAGACTTTCCTTCCACTCTCTGATCCAGGCTGGAAGTGACACCTGCCTTCTTCTCTGTCCTGATTCAAAAGAAAGTCTCTAATCTCGGGGCTGGGGTTCAGTCAATAGAGTATTTCCCGCACAAGCATGGGGACCCAAGTCCAGATCCCCAGTACCACATAAAAGCCAGGCACAGTGACAGAGGCTTATAGCCCCAGCAGGGGGTGGGAGCTGGGGAAGGAGAAGATCCCTGGGGCTCACTGGCCAGCCAGTCTAGCCCAATCAGTGAGCTCCTGTCTCAGAGAATGACCCTGTCTCAAAAACCAAGATGGAAAGAGATTGGAGAAGAACACTGGCCTTCACATGTTGCACACATGAAAGGAAGAAGGAGGGAGGAAGGAAGAAGGGAGGGAGGGAGGGAGGAAGAGAGGAAGGAAGGAGAGAAGGAAGGAAAGAAGGAAGGAAGGAAGGAGGCAAGGAAGGAAGGCAGGCCCTGGTCTCAGTCTAAACTGCTATGGTGAGCACCTATCTGGGTGAGGGGGTGAGGTTTGGACCATCTTCATTAGCAGGCTGGTTAGAGAATTGCCTGTTTCTGACCTTTGTCCACAGCAGCCAAGCAGGTACCTCTGGACAGACCCTTCATCCTTGAGATGGCATATGAGGAAGGAAGCCACCTAAACATTGGCTCCCATTCACACCCTCCCTGCCCCCTAGATCAGTTCCAGGGCGAGTGCACAATCTCTGACCTTAGAGTCCCGCCATTCCGTTTATTACCAGGTATAGGGCTCCACGCAATGATTTGACCTCTTTCGGAGCCTCCATCTACGCCAGGAAAATAAAGCAGCTCCATGCACAGGCATAACTGATGCATAGGTGGAGCGAGGCAGCTGATGGGAAGACTCAGATCTCCCCCACAAACAGCTCTGAGCCTGAAACAGCAAAGCCCTTCCACCCTGAACACACAAAGAAGGGCTTCGTCCCACACCCCAACCTGCATCCTCCTGTGTTGGTGACCCAGTCACCTGCCACACCTGTGTGGGCCCACACCCCGCCCCACAGTCACATTCCAGGGGGCCCTGGGTCAGAGAGAGGGTTGCTGCTGTGACAAGGGAGCCTTTCATAGACAGGGACAAGGATCTCTGAGCAATCTGAGGCTGGGGTGCGGCCTGGCCTCTGCCACCAGCTCCAAATCCTCCGGGGGATTTAAGTGACTGGAGGAGATGGAGGTTGTTGTAAGGCAGATGAGGAGGCCACAGGGGTGGGTAGAAAAGAGGAGAGCGGGGCTCCAAGACGGCACTTTTACAATCAGCCTTATGATTTGGAGCAAGCTAAGGTACAGAGACCCACGAGGGAAAGAAGGAAATAGTGCCTTCTTTAGGCTTAGCAGGAACCGTGGTACAGGGCAACCAGCACTCAGTGTGCTTCCCTAATAGGCCTCGGATGGGGCACTGAATGACATAAGGGTCCTTCACTTGTCCCCTCCCCCACAGGCCCCTGCCAGCTGTCCTGAGAGCCAGCACCAAGCAGCCAAGGCCTTGTTTTATGGGTCCCTTGTTTACCTTGAACTGGCCTCAGCTCTTGGCAGCTGAACTGTAAACCGCAGGGTCACCATACCCACCCAGGGGCAGAGCTGAACCAGGAAGCTGCAGTTTTGTTCCTTTGTGAGCTCAGAGCAGGCTCCAGACAAGTCAGGTTGGGGACCCAGGTGGGAGGTCTAGGTCACAGCCCAGACCCATTCCAGGCTCTGGGCCCAGGTAGGAGCTGGTGGGTGTTAAGGGGCTTATACAGGGTTCCTGTGTAACGAATGTGTTGGTACCTGCACACTGGCATAGGCCGACAAGGACACCATCTCCAGGCTTGCTTTAAACAGAATGTTCAAGCCCCAAAGTCCCAGTGTGGGTTAAATAACGTGTCAGGACAAAATGCCTCGGGAGATCCCTATCCTGAGATGTCATATGGAACAAGACTATGAGAAATGATGTCAACTCTAAGAGACCACCTGGGTCACAGAGGCTGAGAACAGGACGTCTTTGATGCTGGCCCTGATTGCGTTGTATAGCGGCGTGTGGCCTCCACCAGAGGTTTAATGTCTCTGAACTCATTCCCTGCTGTATAAAATGCAGCTCATCCTATCTCTGGGGTTGTTTCTATTAGTGGCACATAGTAGATGCTCAAACTGCATTCATTTCATACACACACCCCAACCCGAGGGAGTAGAGTGCAAAGAAAACTAAGTCTGGGCCTGTTTCAAAGCCCACTTCTGAGGGTGGAATGAAGCTCCAGCAACAGAGTTTCTTACTGCACAAGCATAAGGACCTGAGTTCAAATACCAGCACCCACGGGAAAAACTGGTGTGGGTCCACAAGATGATTTTGCGGGTAAAGGCAAGGGCCACCGAGCCTGACAACCTGCGTTAGGTCCCGAGGACACATGTGAGTAGAAGGAGAGAAGTGACTCCTAAGAGGTGTCTAACCTTCGCATCCACACAGCAGCACGCTTGTTCGTACACACCTACACATTCTACATAAGTAAATGTAAAAAGAACAAACCAGGTGTAGCAATACACATCTGCATTCTCAACACGAGACGGTGATTACAGAAGACATCTAATGTTGACCTCTGCACACACACACACACACACACACACACCTCACTTTTGCCGCGTATTATAGCAGTTACACATGCAACCAACCACTGGACCTCGCTAAGCCCCACTTTAGCTCTCTTAAATGGAGACAAGATCGCTGCAAAGAGCAGGCTAGATAAGTGACATGTACCAATGGGAATCACCATCACCATAGCAGTGTGTTCTTGTTCCCACTCCCTATCCTGGCACAGGATGGACTTGGTTCAAATAAAACAAGGGACTAAGGCATGACCCATCACTCCATGGGCTGAAATAAGCAAAGCGTCATTCTTCCCATGGAGGATAGTTTTATTGGCAAATCAAGGAAAGAGCTGGAGTAAACGTGTCACCCCAGTCAGGCCCCTCCCCAGGGGAGTCTCACTGGCAACAGGGCCGGAGCCCAGGAAAAGCTCAGATGGCCTTGGGGGTGGGCAGGTTGTTGTAGTGGGCTTCCTGGCCCTCAAGCAGGCTACGGTAAGTGGCAATCTCCTGCTCCAGCCTCGACTTGATGTCCATGAGCTGCTGATACTCCTGATTCTGGCGCTCAGTGTCAGCGCGCACACTGCTCAGCTGGGCTTCGATGCTGCTGATCACAGCCTGGATCTGTGACAGCTGGGCTGAGTAGCGGGCCTCTGTCTCTGCCAGCGTGCCTTCCAGGGCGGCTTTCTGAGGGGAGGGAAAGGGGACATGACTCAGCAGAGGCAGGTTCCTGAAGGCAGGCGCGAACACCAGCCGAGCTACCTGAGGTTGGAAGGGCGCACGTGTGCAGCGCATAGGGTGGAGACACACACCATGCTGAGCTGGGACTGTAGCTCAATCTCAAGGCTCTGGAGGGTACGTCGGAGGTCGGTGACTTCCGACTTGCTCATCTGCAGCTGCTCCGTGTGGCTGGCAACCTCCCTGTTCAGCTCCTCGGTCTATACCAAAATAATTCAAGGAGGAAATAAGCAACAGGGCTTATCTTTGTGTGGGCGAGTTCAGGGTCTCTCTCCTCACCACCTCCACAGGGTACCAACATCCTCTGCATACCCGAGTGATGAACAAGGTTTCAGCATCCTTCCGGTTCTTCTCCGCCATGACCTCATACTGACTTCTCATGTCACTCAGGATCTTGGCTAGGTCAATGCCTGGAGCTGAATCCACCTCCACGCTGACCTGGCCACCCACCTGGCTCCTCAGGGCACTAATTTCCTGCAGAGACACCACAGAAGTGGGCATGTCAAGACCTAAACATGCTGGATCTGGACCAGGCCACTCCCCCAGGCCCTGAGCCAAAGAGGGCTTATTTGGAGGTGCAGGTCTAGGAGCCAGCAATGTAGAGTAGATGTGACGGTCATCATGCCCTGCTGAGACTATGAGACTTTGATCACAAGCCGGGGCCGTACTGATAATGTAAGAAATAAGGTCATGGTCAGTGAGTCCAAGATAATAATGTCCCTCAGTTCTGGGACACTGTGGGCAGAAGGCCCACTTGACTCACCTCCTCGTGGTTCTTCTTCAGGTAGGCCAGCTCCTCCTTCAGGCTCTCGATCTGCATCTCCAGGTCAGTCCTGGCCAGGGTCAGCTCATCCAGCACCCGGCGCAGGCCATTGATGTCGGCCTCCACGCTCAGACGCAAGGCCTGCTCTGTCTCAAACCTTTCCAAGGAAATAGCGGCAGTCAGGCTAGTGCTGGCTCTGCGTCTGCCAACTTCCCCAGAATTTAGGAGGGGGGGAGTTTGCTTCAATCCAGCTGGAGTGGGGAAGGGCAGAGTCTAGCCCTCCACTGCATTGACAAATGCCTGGGATTGCTCCCAACCCATTGCCCTGGCTTCTGAAGTCCCCAAAGCAGGGCTACTTACTTGGTTCGGAAGTCATCTGCAGCCAGGCGGGCATTGTCAATCTGCAGGACAATCTTGGAGTTTTCAATGGTGGCGCCAAGAATCTGGAAGGGAGGAAGGAGGCCGGCAGTGGGCACCAGTTTGACAAACCAGTATTACCTATCCACTTTCTTCCCAGAGAAGGAGACAGATATGAATGAACAGTCCCACTCCCTCGATACTACCCACCAGCCTGTTCTGGGAGGCTTTGGCATGGGTCTACAGCCCCAGAGGGACACACTGTACAAGAGGCTGGATGAAGGGAGTCAGGCAAAGAGGCAAGTTCAGAAGGATATGTCTAAGCCCTGTGCAGGTCTGAAAGGTCTATAAACCTGAGACAAGAGGCATTAAGAATCACTTATCCCACTGGGGTGTGGTGGTGCATGACTTTAATCCCAGCATTTGGGAGGCAGAGGCAGGTGTATATTTCTGAGCTCTTGGCCAGCCTGGTCTACAAAGTGAGTTCTAGGAAGGCCAGGGCTACACAGAGAAACCCCGTCTTGAAAAAAAAAATAGAAGAAGAAGAAAAATCACCTATCCCAGTCTATACCCCACACTCAAAGCACATTCTGCCTTCTAAGGGGTGGGGTGGGGTGGGGTGGGGCACCTTTCATTGATCGTCAAAGTGTGCCAGGAACCTTGGATACCTACCCTTCACAGTCACTTAGACTCACTCGTGCGTTGGTACCACCCAGTACAGAACTGGATATCCTGAGTTTCCCCAATCTGGAGACTCCCTGATCTGAGGGATTTGTTCAAATCGTCCACTGATTTAAAAACCAGGGCTCTGTGTTTTCAAAGATTAGGTCGTGACCGCTCATCGAGTCACCAGATCGCCATTTGCGTGATTTTGTTGCTGTTTTATGTTTTTGCTTCACTTGGTTTGACTTAGTTTCCTCTGGTTTGTGCTTTCTCAGTGTAGCTCAGCTGTCATTATCCTCATCGTCCTCCTGCCTCAGTTTCCTAATGCTGGGATTATAGGTATAAGCCACCACAGGCAGCTACACTGGCACTGGGGAGGGGCCGGGTATTGCAGAAAACAGCGCAGAATATAAATTTCAGAGGAGACCATTCACAACAGAGCAAGAAATGCTTCTAGGTACGTCTGCTGTGGATATGAGGGAGGGCAAACGGGACAGGCCAGAAGGAAGAGGGTGCTGCCTAGGACTTCAGCCGAGTTAAAAAGCACTATTCTCACAAAGAATAAATTAAAAAGGAAAGTTTTAAAAACTCAAAATAAAAAAGCACTCCACTCGCTGTTTGATTGGCATCTGAAACGTCTGTGCCCAACACCATGCTGGGTTCACACAGCACTGGGAAATGCTCTGGAGAGCTGCATGTTGGGAGAACTGGTGGGGAGGGAGTTGTTAAATGCCTCCCTGGTCTCTGGTATGTTTCTTCAGGACACAGCTCTTCCCTGGAAGGGAAGACAGGCCTGCGGCTCACACAGACCTCAGGGTTGCCTTCTCCGTACCTGGTACTCCAGGAGAGAGGTCCACATAAGTAGGGGCCATCATCTCTTCTTCTCATTTGCTAAAATATTTTTTAATTATTCTTTCCTCTTGTTTTTTTTTATGTTAGGGTTTTTTGTTTGGGGCTTTTGGGGGGGGGGACTCGTGTAGGTAGCCCTGACTAGCCTCAGGTTAAACAAGCATGGCCAGGAATTCAACCTTTAGCTCAGTGGTTCTCAATCTGTGGGTTGCAACCCCTTTGGGGTCAGCGAACTCTTTTACAAGAGTTGCCTAAGGCCATCAGAAAACACAGATATTTACAACAAATTACAGTTACGAAGTAGCAACGAAAATAATTTTACGGTTGGGGGTCACCACAACGTGAGGAACTGTATTAAATAAAGGGTTGCAACTTTAGGAAGGCTGAGAGCCACTGCTAATAGCCTCTACTTCCCGGGTGCTGGGATTACAGGCCTGAGCTACCATGCCTGACTAGAATTTTTTTTTGAGATGGGGGTTTTGCTATGCAGCCCCCAGCTCTCACATTCTTCGCATAGCTCCTTGCAAGCCTGGGTGGTCGCCTGGGCTGGAGAGGAGTGGGAGGAGCGCCGATGTGAAGAAAACCAGACAAGCACTGCCCGAGAAAAGAACTCTGAAAGCTCCCGGAAGAGGGCGGCTGGCTCAGGTGAACCAAGAGTCCCACACACTAATATCCTGCAGCACCCAGCTGAGGCTACGGCTCCGCGTCCCCATCTCTAGGCAGCCTACAGCTGTGTCGTGTTGCTCTCTCTTTGGATATTCTGGACCCTCTCTCTCCAAGGGCGTCCCCACCGGCTCTGAAGGCCCCACCCACTTACCTGTCCGTCTTGTTTTCTTCCACCCTGCCTCCACTCGAGTTCCAGGGTCCAGCCCAGACTTTCTGCCCCACCCTGCGGGTTCTCCCACGAAGTTGTAACGGATTTGCCCGCCCGCGGGCTGGGTTTCCACCACCTCCCCGCCCTGCCGCCCAACCCCAGCAAGTGCACCTCCCAGGGCCCCGCCGCTGCCCACCTTGTCGCGCAAATCCTCGATAGTCTTGTAGTAGTGGCTGTAATCACGAGAGGGTCCGGGCCCCTGCTTCTGGTACCAGTCGCGAATCTTCACCTCCAGCTCGCCATTAGCCTGCTCCAGGGCGCGCACCTTGTCCAAGTAGGAGGCGAGGCGATCGTTGAGGTTCTGCATGGTGAGCTTCTCGTTGCCAGCCAGCAGCCCATCGGACACAGCCAGGTTCCCACCAAAACTTCCTCCGTAGCCTCCGCCATAGCTTCCAGAGGACGAGGACACGATGCGGGTGGAGGATACGGACACACCGCGGCCGCCCGAACCCCCGTGGATGCTGGGTGCACGGAAAACACCCCCTGAGCCAAAGCGCACCGAGCCTCCGCCGAAACCCCCGAAGGAAGAGACGGCTGAGGACTGGCGATAACTATAGGAAGTCATAGTGAGGAGGAAGACTGCAGTGAAGCGACAGGGGACACAGACCTGAGAGCAACTGACCGCAGGAGGAGTGGCAAGGCCCTCACCTGGGGTTTTTTATGCCCCAGGCGGGAGGGGGATGGAGAGATTGCAGGGGCGGGAATTTCCAAGCTCCTGAGTACAAATATGGGCGATCTCCCCATTGGTCAGTTCCTGGCGACTCTGACCCTGCCTCTCCCCTCCCAGGAGCCAGAGGCCCCAGTCCTCCCCAGAGCTGCCCCACCCCAGGCCACTCCAAAGCTACTGCCAAGACAGCACGTCCCTATTCTGGCTCTTTAGCCCCCCCCCACTACACAGGCTTAAACAACACTGACTTCCGGAATGACAGTATCACCCTGGCCCTTTAAAACCTCCGAGAATTTGACACCCTCAGAATCGCACCCCTTTGAGCTCCCACTCAGTGACCACTCTGAGAGTGCCCCCTTTGGAATTATGTTAATAAATCCCTTCATCCTGTGATCATACACACACACGCACACCAGATTTCTACACACCGCTAGAAATAACAGCCTCTCAGAATCCCCTGGTGGCAGAGACCACCACCCTAACTCCCCATTAGTTCCTTCTTGATGACGACAGATTCCTGTTCCTTGACTGTCTGAGACAAAGTTGCCCCACCCTGCTGTAGCCATGCAAGGCCCTAGATGACAATAGATACAGCTGCAGGAAACTCTGGGCCACCAAAGTGCTTCTTCACAGTACTGTAGGTGCTTAATCCTAACCGCCAACATGGTTTTATCCAGCTCAGAAACTCATCCCCACCCCCACCGGGACATCTCCACCCTCCCTACCCCAGGGTCAAGATGCACTTAACAAGACCTCTATTGAGTTTCTTCAATAGTCCCATGATGAGCACTCTGAATCTGGCAGAGGCCGATCACTTGCCCATAAGGCATTTGGCACCTGCCACCCAGAGAGATAAATAGAATGGAGCCCCTTGAGCAGTCCTGAAGAGGGTCAGAGTGTGTTGCGATGGTGCAGCCTGAATCCAGTGGCCCTCGGACACTCCTAGAACAGAGGTGAAGGAGAGAGTGACTAAAATCAGCAACACAAAGAGGACCATTCTAGAATGGAAGGAGCCCTTCTGCACACCCAGTCCGCAGTGTGACAATTCCAGATCTCTCTGGATCTCTTCCTTGGGCCAGGCTCCCTGATACGCACTGTGGAGACACTTGAACAGCTTCACCCCCCAAGTTCCTGCCCACCCCATCTCACTAGTCCTTAGTAGTGGTACTGTCTAGTTTTGTCAAAGCTGTCTCTGTCTCAGGACAGAGATCACGTGCCTCCTGAAGGGGGAACTAGGGCAGGGAGAAGGGCCAGCTACTCCCTATCTCCAAGCCTCAGTTTCCCCCTGTGAAATGAATGAAGATGAATGAAGAGTATTCAAAGTCGGCTCTTTTCTTCGTTGTATCAGCTGGTCTTCTGTGACTAAATGAAGAATTGTTCCTCTAAAACCCAGCACACTGTCTTCTAGCCACCATCTTCTCCAGGAAGAAGGCAGCAACAGTACTTACACACACACACACACACACACACACACACACACACACACACACACACACCACCCTACCATAACCGTGAGTGACTGTAAATTAAGGAATCGGTTGTAGAAGGACTCTAAGGAGCCCCAGACCAGTCAGGAAAAGGGTGTGGTTGAATCTTCATAAAGGTTTTAGTGGCTAGGGTTATCGAGCCACTGTGAGTCATTCCTTATCTGGCCCTGAGGAGGAGGCCGGCTCCCTGGGGGAGGTGGAAGAAGAGATTGACCAGATTGTTACTAACTTCTAAGCCCCAGCAGCACCTCTGATATTCCAGCCTGACTAAGGGGTCTCAGGAAGGGACTTTGTATCCAGAAACAAAGACTAGGAGGGACAACAGTGCCAGGAAGATCACTGTGTTCTCAACTCCCTCGGATTCAAAGGAGGTTTCTATCAACTCCTGCCAGGGTGACACTACCCTGAACACAATCTTACAAAGCCTTTTCATACCTCTTTGGAGACTACAACAGCCCAAAGAAAACAAGAATCTCTGCCCATTTGAAGATAAGGAAATCACTCCACTAGAGGCAGTAGCTTTGCCAGAGATGCACAGCCAAGATGTCCAGATTCCAACCTCTTGACCCCAGCCCCACACAGCCTGGGATTCTGAGTGTGAAAGGCTCTGTGCACCCTTCTAAGAATGCGCAGCCCACAAATAACTCTTTATGGTATCAACAATCAGCCCCAGACTGGCCTGGGGTCCTGTCACTGAGGGCCCAGCCAGAGAGAAAACCCTGCCCCCTCTCTCTGGTCTCAACGGTGTCCAACCCAGAGCTAAGCAGCTTGTGAAGGCCTTAATCAGGGTGCCTGGCAAACAGCACTCCAATAGCTTCATTGTTATTATTTTATCATATGTTATTAGTATTAAATAGTATATAGTTGTCATAATTATAATTACTAGTCTTATTGTCTAACTGTGTTTAATGGACCATTGGCTCTTTTGCCTAGTGACTCTTAGCAATAGCCCCCAAGTGACATGAAAGGCTGATCCAATCCAAGAGTGTCCAGAGAAGGTAAGGTGTCTTAGGTCACGAGCATACTGAAGAGCACTGAAATCACCTCCTAAGTTCTGGCTGTCGGGTAGAGACCCTACATCTCCATCAAGACATATTCTAGAAGTTTCTTCCACTTAGCAAAGACTTCTGTGTCTCCCAGGAGAACTGCTAAGGGTAAGAAACTTTCCTAATCACTGAGAAGACAGAGAAAGGTTTGGGGGTTGCTGGGAGTGAGAGCACCCAAGTAGAATGGAAGTGTGTGATGATGACAGTGACAGCATGGTGACAAAACAATAATGAAGGTGGTAAGGTGACAGAACATGAGCATTGCCAACCTCTACTGTCCAGGGCCATTGTGCAAAAAAATTGCATAGATTTCCTCAAGTAATCTGGTAAATTTTGTATTCTTGTCCCTATTTTATAGTCAAGAAAATTTGGGCTCAAAAGGCTAGCAACTGAACCAAAGTCCCATGGATAAGATGTGAACCTAGGCTTCAAGCACAGATCTTTAGCCCCCTGGAGCCACAGTCCCAGCCATTATGGCTTTTCTGATTTCACTGGACAGAGGCCAAGGTGCTTTCCTCCACTGGCCTGGAGAAAGCCTTGTCCAGTTGAGGAGGTCATGGTGTCACCCATGGAGGTCCTTATTAGTCCTTTCTACTTATGTACAGTCATTTGGTAAGTCACTGGACCATTGGAGCACAGTTCCTCCAAGTTTACCCAGCAGAGGAGATAGAGTTGTGCTATAGAGAAAAAAGGTAGACATGAGGAAAATTCACAAACTCAGCCGTAGACTAAGTTAGCCTGTTACCTAAGGGACCATCCTCTTCCCCAGGGACCATCAACACCGAGCACTCAGGGTTCCTCTCACCCTGCCATTCACTGGACATCCACCAAACCCCTTCATCCATACCAGGCATGTTGCTAGGTTCTGAGATAGGTGTGAACACAAGCTTTTCCTGTCACTAAGAGCCTGCTTTGATGAAATGGTGGCCCACACCTGTGATACTAGCACTTGGGAGACTGAGGCAGGATAATTGCTGTGTCTGAAGTCAACCTGGCTATAATCTAAGATCTGTCTCTCAAACAAGGAGGGGCAAGAAAAAAAGAAAAAGACAGAGAGTAGATTGGATATGCATGTCTAGCGTTAGCCTCTTTCTAAAGCCATGGAGAGACAAGAGAGATGGCCTAAAGAGAGTAAGGGGCTGCAGAAGATGAGAAATCTTTTCGAAAACGGGAGGTGTAGTAGGAGAGACTCCAAGACCTAAGGTGTAGGAAGAGAAAAGAGCAGCAAACCCAGAGGAGGTGGGGAATCCAGAACACCAAATCTCTGGAAGTTTCTATAAGCAGCACCGGGCCCCCCACTTAAACCCCATCCCCAATGAAAGAAGCCAAGTGACCACCTCTCTCCAGTCCAGGAATATGTGCAAGGTTCACTTTTCCCAAGTCAGTGATGAATGCAAAGGGGTGGTTGGTTTGGTTGGTTGGCTGGCTGGGTTGGTTGGTTGGTTGGTTGGTTGGTTGGTTGGTTGGTTGGTTGGTTGGTTGGTTTTCTGTTTTGAAGACAGGATCTCATGTAGCCCAGGCTTGTCTCTACCTCATTGTGTAGTCACAGATGATCTTGAACTTCTGATCCTGTTGCTTCTATTTTCCAGGTACTGAGATGTCAGGTGGGCTGAAGAGATAGTTCAGCCATTCAAGGCTAGGCTCACAACCAAACGTATAAGAGATTTCAGGCATACCCCAATATACTTGGTTTATGCAGTGCTGGAAACCTAATGCAGGGCCTGGTACACCTTAAGCAATCGTTCTAGGGACTGAGTCACATCCCCCAGTCAAAAATTACAGAATTTCATCTCATCAAGTGTTGGGAAAGCTGCAGGGAGATGAACTGACAATCCTTTGACAGGTAACTTCTCGGGGTCTTCTATTTTTAAAAACTCCCACAAGCCACCTGGTTGACTCTTCTTATTTGCTCCCAGAGAATGCCTTGCAATGTATTCAGGAAAACACACAAAAGGAAGGGTCTTTGAAGCCTGGTTGCAATAAAAGACAGAAACAATTGCAAGTGAGCAGACAGCTAAGTACATAACATCTAGGGAGGGACAGGGGCGGAAATCAAATAGAATGAGTAATGTCAACATACAGCGACTTGGAAAAGCCTAAGAACGAGTTGCTGGGTATAATAAAAGCAGAGGGAGGCCATGACACACACTATGACAAATGTCCCTTGGCATATGGTTGAAAGATGGCTTTTTTTCTGCAGGTCCGTATGAATACAGATGTAAGCACGTCGATAAGAAAAGGACAGACTGGTTGGAGAGATTTCTCTGGGGAGATGCTGATCGGAGGGCAGAAGCTGAAATCGGTCTATGTGGTTTTCATCTTTGCAAGAATGTGTTTGCGTGTTGTTTGCTTATTTAAATACTGTCTAAGAAACACTGTATAGTTGACTTGTAGATCTGGCTATATTCAGGGCTGAGGATGGCTCTGTTGGTAAAGAGCATGCTTACTATACAAG